TTGTGGTGTACCCACCGTTGTTAACTTTTGTTTCACTGCATTGTCTGAGATGAGGAAATCACCAGTGCATCCTTCTACTTAAATGTCCTACGTTCATGATATGACATCACTGTAGCGTGAGTTTTGTACATTTTCCATAAAATTCACCTGAAAGCCAAATATCCCAAACTTTTTGTGAGTCGTTGTATATTGCAGGAACTATATCTAAAGCTTGGAGCAATGATGGGCACAGTACACAGCAAGCATGCAATTAGCATAATTCAGTTAAGATGTTACAATTTATATAAGTATCCAGTGAAACACCCCACCCGACTCTCGGGGCATGCAGGGTTTTGTGTGCTTGTAGCTTTGCAAGCACATTGACATGTTGGTTTTACTCAGGGGTCGCCAACCCAACATGTTGAAAGAGCCATATAGGGCAAAAAAACAAAAAGCAAATATGTCTGGAGCTGCAAAAAAATAAAACCCTTCTATAAAACTTACAATGAAGGAAACGCATGCTGTATGTATGTAGGAGACTGGACTGTCTCAGCAACATCTATCTATATGAGCTGTATCAGCCGACAATCAAAATGACTAAGTTTGCTACAATTACACGATGAGCCTTCATGCTAATTTTTTTTTTTCCGTGCAGTACATTCTGTAGAGCAGGGGTGCCGACCTTTTTTGACCGTAGATCTACTTTTCGTTCAACCAACCGACTGCGATCGACCCATGCATACACAACACACTTACAGACCTACCTACCTTCGTCGAGATCTGACGCGGAGGCATGGGACGCATTTTTACAGCGTTTTTGACGATTGTAGCTCACGTGTACCATTTTAAAAATGCTTTTCACGGCCCTCCAGATTCTCTTTGCCAGTACCCTCGGTGAATTGTACATGAAACACCGTTTTTAAAAATTTTCATTTACTTATATATTTTTTGATGCAAATCTTCGTTGACGGAAACGTTGAAATGAAATATTTATTCTACACATTTTTACAGCACTGGGAAACGTTAAGAATGTGTGTGTCATGTTTGTACTCCTACAGAACCCATATTTAAAACAAAAAAATAAATTTCCCTCACACATCTTTTTCCATTTTCAAACATTTTCTATAAAGCTCCAGGGAGCCACTAGACGGCGCTAAAGAGCCACATGCGGCTCTGGAGCCTCGTGTTTCCGACCCCCGGTTTAACTTCTTGAGATGCTTATGAGGGCACTCCGATGCATTCACCATTTCAAGTTCAGACACAATCCAACGGGAACACAGATGTGTGTTTTAAATTGTTCATTAAATCATCTTCTCTTTCTCCTTGACAGTTCTGTTTGACTTCCTCTCCAACCTGGGGCTGCAGAAGTATCATCCGAACAAATTCACTCTTCAATCTCTATTGGAAGTAAACAAAAGCAGCATATATGAAAAAGTTGTTCTATCAGATGATGAAATACCATTTCATTTCCTCAGAAAATTGTTCCAAATCAATGCTGGATGCAGGTACTGCACTCCGATGTTAAGCAGCCATGAAGAACATGAAGGCAGTCTTGACCTCCTGGACATTTATATGGCATGTGGATCAGCAAACACAGTTCATCCTCTTGACCTGATAGTCGGACTATTTCTTTGTGCTGACAGCTTCTTGCAGCAGGAAATGGCCCTCAAGATGTCTTTATGTCAGTTTTCGGTCCCACTGCTGTTGCCCCATTGCAACAACAACCAGTGTACTCTGATGCTGTGGGCTCTGAGAGAAATCGTGAAAGAGTGGTGTCCACGTGATTTGTGTCAAACAAGAGGATTTATCGAGAACAACATTGTGCAAGCAACTCATCCATTTTTTTCCTTTGTGAGGCTAAGAAACTGCAGTTTATCTAAATCTCATTTTTTAAATCACATCCTCAGTCGCGGCCAGCAGAGTCACAATATGTTTTTACACAGAGACATGGAAGGAGGGGCACAGCCTCGGAAAATTTCAAATATGTTGGTGGAGGTATGCTGGTTCCTTCCTTGTGGGAAAACAAATCTTGACATATTCCCAGAGCCAGTTACATTTGCCAATTTGCGAGGAGACATTTGTGGGTCACTCAAGCAATTTACTTTTCTTTATGAGGTGTCCAATGCAATCTTTGTATTCTTGGACAAAATTGAAGACAAGGAGCACCAGATTCTGACAGTTCTTCAAGATGCAAAATCCAAAATCTATTTTGTTGTTAATCGCAAAGAGAATGGGCGGGATGATATGGCGTCTGTCAAGAAAACACTGCAAGAACTGGAGATACCATGTAGCAGTGTTACAATCAAAGACTCATGGGTGAATGTGGCAGACTTTTCTCAGCGACTTTGTGAAGCCATCAAGAACTCACTGTGTGACATCAAAAGCACAACAAGTATTGAACATATGTTCGAAAAAGCCATAGAATTGGGCCTGCGTGTGGATGAAAACAAAACCCTCGAGCAAAAAAAAGCTGCTGAAGAGATCATGAGGGGCATTGGTGTCCGAAGTATACCACACGACAAAAAAACAACAGCTTCCTTTGCAAGGAGAAAATTGGAAAAGGCTTTCACAACGGGAGATGAAGGCATGCCGAATAAATGACGTTGCCACTGTTGGCGTTGAGCATTATAAAGCTCAGCTTCAGGATGAGAAAAGACAAATCTGGGAAGCGCAAAAGAAACAGAAGCGGCCCAAAGGAATGCAACGTTTTATTGACACTTTAGCAACGAGTGACAAAGAGAGAAGGACTTATTTCTTGAAGTGGATGAAGTTCATCTTTAATACCCATTCTCGTGAAAAATTGACTGCTCTGCGTCAGAAATTCAAAGAGCAATGCATAAATAAAGACGCCAAACTCATTGCAGAGATTGATCAGAATTTGGTGGACAGCTCTTTAGGAGTGGAACATTACATGAGAGAAATGGGACTCCACTACGAGGTTTTCCTGCGGTCAAACCAAATTGGTTCATTTGCCCGCTGTAGCTGCTGATATGCTGTTGGATGGTTATCCATTGGAGTTTCTGGACAGAGATGCGTCAAACATCCCAGAGAAGTGGGTGACAGATGTTCTCATGGAGCTTCACAAGAAGGTCGGAGGGAAGAGCAGGCTGATCGTGCTGACTGTGCTTGGTGTTCAAAGTACTGGAAAATCAACGCTTCTCAACACCATGTTTGGCGTTCACTTTCCGGTCAGCAGCGGCAGATGTACAAGAGGGGCTTATATGCTGTTCCTCAGAGTTGGAGACGATATACAAACTGAGTTGGGTTGTGACTTCATCCTTCTCATTGATACCGAAGGTCTGAAATCCCCTGAGCTTGCACA